CCTGCTGGCGGGACTCGGGGAGAAAAAGGAGTAGAGCGTCTTCTGGCCGATCATCCCGAAGGCGGGCAGGGGCGAACGCGCGCCACCCGGGAACCAGCGAGGCTGACGCTAGCTGTGGCGGTCCGAAATTGGCGCCAAACGGCCCGCGCATGCTCCGAGCGGTGGGCTTTGGGGGCTGGGGGCGGAGGGCTTAGTACGCATGTGCGGGAGGGGTGGCTGCGCAAAGACCCCAGGGCGGGGTGGGATTTGGCACCATGCGCAGGAGCTTATTCTTTCATTCACTTTGTCTGTTCGTAGCCTCTGCCTTTGGGCAAGTCCCTCCACCTCTCAGCTTGTAGGAAGGTTAGTTCCTGCCCCATAGGGATATTGTGGGAGTGAAATAAGCATTATAATGGTATTTGTTGATCTTTGAAATACATTCTCTCGTTTAATTTTCACAACCGATTTCACTGACAACAAACTCAGTCTTAGAATGGTCAGACTTTTTACCTAGCCTGTAAGGTTTGGGGGAGAATTTGAGGTCCTGGAAGTTAAACCTCAAGCTCTTCATCCTCCGAAGGGCACCACCATTCCCCCACCCCCCATACACCTGGGATTCTTCTCTTTCCCTCTCTCTTCGTATCCAAACCATCAATATCTCCTTTTGGTTTTATCTCCAAAATATCCCGAATTCAACTGCTGCTCTTCCATCTCCTGGCTACAATCCTTCTGAAACGTAAGTTACATCATGACAATCCCTGGGTTAAAACCCTTCTATGGTCTTCACATATGCTTAGTATAAAACCCCAGCTGCTTTCTTACCCAGCTCTCAAGAACGCTTCCCTCTCTGACCAGTGGGCACTGAATCTGCCTCCCAGCACATTACCTGGACACAAGCTTGTCCCCTTGTGGCCTTCAAACTCTTGCACATGCTGTTGCCCTGCCTGGAAAGCTTCAGGATCCTTTCCTCACAGACCTTGCCTCCTGTCTCACTTTCTAGCCCATCGCTCTAATAACTTCTATACTGTATAAAATTACTATTCATCTCTTGTTTATTTTTGTCTCCATCTCCAAAACATAACGTGGATGAGGGCAGGAACTTTCTCCTTGTTGCTGGTGTGTACCAGTGCCTGGGACAAGGAGCTTAAGTATTAATAGACCTGCAACATAACCAGCGCCACTTTAGACAAGCCCAAGTACAAAATGGCGCCGCCCACCTCTACCCCTCCCCTACCCCCTTCCCTTTAGGAGAAGCCTCCTGACTTAAACAGAAACCCCTTTTGCTTCCACAAGGACACAGTTCTCCACCTCCATCCACATTAGCATAATGACCCTCCTTGATGGTATCAGCCAGCCCTTGGCGCAGTATATAAGCTCTACCACCCCCACACCTGGTGCCACACCTTTCAGGGTAGCCCTGGGCTGCCTGCTACTTTGAGCACAGCCCAGCAGATTTCTTCCTGGCATCTCGGCTCACTTTCTTTCAAGTATAGGAAGGGAGAGGGGCTCATAACTGAAAATCATTTGCCCTTATAGCCACTTCGAAAAACAATTCAGCAGTCTTGTATAAAGTTGAACTTTATCATCTGATCCAGCAATCCCACTCATAGGCATTTCCCCAAGATAAATGAAAATCTGTATTCACACGAAAGCTTGTACATAGATGTTTATAGCAACTTTATTCACAATCGCCTAAAACAGGAAACAACCCAGACGCCCAACTGGCATTTATGGCTCCTTTGTGGTACTCACCACTGTGGTGCATGCATACAATGGAGTACTATTCAGCAAGAAAAAAGAACAAACGATTGGGGCCGGCCCGGTGGCATGGCGCACTGCTATAGTGCGCCGCTTGGGAAGTGCGGCGGCGCTCCCGCCGAGGGTTC